GTGTGAGGGCGTTTAGTGCAGGCTTGACTCTTTAGATATCCCCATAAAAAGAAATCGGGGATAGTCAAATCTGGCGACCGCGCTGGCCAGCTGTTGAAGATCAACGATTCGGCTATTAAATGACCAAGGAAATCCACAGGAAACGCCTTTCGGGCAACTTTATCATTTTTTCAACTGTTGCATAACCTGCATCTTATAGGGGTGGGACTGTAGATCATTGTGGATGATACGGTGTAAGGTGCGAGGCTACAACCTTAGCTCTAACGCATGTCTGACAGCAGAACGCCGAGGACTTCGGATTAGTGCTTGGCGGGCTGCCTCTATCCCTTAATAAGGGTACGTACGTAAGGGTCCGTAATGCCTTATGGCGTCAAGGATTTTTCAACATCAGGCTAGATGCATTAATATGAAATGGGTTCTCACACCCTACGGTGGGGAACCAATTTCAGTGATCAAGAAATTTGTCGTGACGCCTCAGCCTGAAATGACTACGACATATTTTTTGCACACTAATGGGAGTCTCGTTTTTAAATTAACTTTCCCCGCCCAAAGAACGGTGCTCTGTAGCACACTTTGGCCATAATTACAAATGGCAATATTTTCCCACATTATTCCTCATACTTATATCGCGCAAGCGCGATCAGTGAGCCTCTACTACACGACTCAAATCAGGCTATTCTTTCTGCGCAACCCTATATGAATACTTTTTAGATATTATTGACCTAAGGAATTTTCAGTAAATCAGTTCAGTTGTTTCTTTGTGAAAATCTGTTATTTAATCTAAAAATGCAGTGCATTGCAATGCAGTGCAGTGTAATGCAGTGCATTGCAAACAGACGTAGTATGTAGACTTCTAATATTTTTGTTTACAATATTTTTTTTGTTTACACTTGTGGGACTTTTTATAGTTGTTTAGAAATGTACTAGACGTTAAATTTTTTATTTATAAGATCACTGGTGAGGTAGAGACCTAATAATTAAATGAAAGGTGTTGTCTGATGTCAAATATTTGATACCAGACAACACATTTTCTTAATTTAATTAGTTAATATTTCTAAAATTATTTTTCTTATCATTTGAATGCATATGATTTGTGATTTGTATGATTATTTTGATTATGAATAGTATTATTATTTTGATTTGTATGATTATTTCCCTTATCATTTGAATGCATATGATGTGTGATTTGTATGATACACTAGTCTTTTGCCATACTTTTTATATTATTACATAACCACCCTACAGGTTTACTATGCAGTATTATAGTACATATTACAATTTTTCATTGTGGGTAAATCGTTTTTTGTAGGAGTGATGTTCGTTTTGAAAATGGCCTTATAGTTGAAGTTTTGCATACGCTGGATGCTAGACAAGGCGAGGAAGTAAAAAATAATGTCGGAGTACTGGATATCTTAGTTGCTCCTGAAGGAGCCGAATGCCAGATGACGAGAGTGCCGATAAAGCTTAAGGCTGTAGAATCGACTTAACAGAAACCAGTTATTCAACGAAATGGAAATAATTATCTTCCGGGAAAACAAGTTTCGAAGCTTTTGACATTTCAGCATACTCTTTCAAGCAAGGATTTGAATCACGATATTTAGGATATAATATTTCTTGTCATTTTATACGTATTATTCATGGTAATGAAAAAGAGATGTTTCAATATCATGAACATTTAACCGGTGTTAAATGCTATTTTGAGATGATGGTGTTTCGACGGGAAACATTCTCGAATCATTCTTCTAGCCAAGAAATACGTCTGGGACACTCTGGTAGACTTGAACAACTTGGTATCGAGGGGTTTGAGACGGGACAATTTTTTGCAAATATTTAGGTTTATTAATTTGGCAGATTATGCTGCATTTAATGAAGATACTATGTATAAGATGTGATTACTAATGGTACATCTAAAACTTTGTGAACATTTGATCAGTTCTGAAAACTTAAGATTGAGTCTGCAGTGAAATATTTTCTGCAACACTCCTGTAAACAATTTTTGACAAGGGAAGCCTATAAGATACAGTTACAGCATGCTTTGTCTCAACACTGTCTGTGGATACTTATTCGAAGTAATCAAGAACTATACATTTCTTCGGGACTTCAATATTGTTGAATATACCATTTTATTGAACGCAGAGACATTGATACATTAGCATTAAATAAATAAATCATCTATCATATCCCTCTCCCATCCACGTCGCCGTTCTACAATGAAATTCTCGGATTAACTTCTCAAACTGCCAGCATTGTATGACGCCGCGCGCGTATATCAAAATATCGTATATTAAATAAAAGTTCGTACCCAATTATCGTACTAGTTTTTTTCAATTTTTCTTTCATATTTCATTTAAATCGAATGTTTAGGAGAGAAAATCTAATTGAGATCATTTCAATTAAGGTTTGGAAATTTATTGAAAGAAAATACATCAAAACCTTCAGAATTCAAATTATAGAATAGAGTAAGAATCAAATTGGAATCTTAATTAATATAAATTATTTGTCATATTCTTTAGATCCATTCCTATTCTCAGAGATTTTTTTCACATGGCCCATTGTTGGTAGGACACCTGTATATTTCATTAATTTCAAGCAGATATTAGGGAAACTATAAGTTTATTTTCTTCAAAAATTGCATTTTTAATGAGTTGGTTAATAACAGATTTTAAGGCAAAAAAATAGGTTTATTAGTGTAGTTTTCAATATTTAATTTTTGCAATATTCGAGAATACGGAGAGTCCAACGATGATTATTAATGGCGTCTCAAGATAAGCTCGACCACATTCGGTGACACTCGGCACTTCTATATATAGTCATAATTAACTCAAAAGAGGACTAGCGCCCGAAAGGTTTTGCATACTTTTGCGCCACTGCGACTGCCATTGCTCTAAGCAGTGAAACATAACTTTGGTAAAAGTAGTGGTGTTATAACAGCACGTATTTCCTCGCAGTGTTTGGAACATTCGATCTTGTCGAAATTCAGAAAGTTCAAAGAATATCAGACTTCCGAGGTTTATAAGCGCCCTTTTACCCTATCTTGGAAAAAAAATTGGAACCGTTTTTAAGATTATTAAAAATTGTGGTAACTTTAAGCAGAAAGTATACGAAAACTACTCGTTTTGTCAAAAAAATGTACTTAACCTTATTTTAAAGATCCAATTTTTAGAACACGTTTAAGACAAAAAAAATTATCCTTCCTTAACCGGAAAATTTCTCTGGCCCGTGAAGTGTTATGGTATTTTACAGAACATAAAACGGAATATGTCCAACGCGGAAACAGAACGGGTTTTCATGTCCAATAGGGGGGAAATTTTTATAAAACGGAATTCCTGTTAATGTAATGCGATTGACAAAGATGCGAGATATTCTTCATATAATTAATGCATCTGCAAGTATGTTTTAAATTCTCTATCCCGCGCGATTTAGTCCTTGCAACTACTCGGCGAAGGAGAGAGGCTTCAGCGGACAGCGTAGCATTCTATCTTGGGGTCACTTGTCCCTCAAGGCGTAGGCCGTAGGGGAATTACCCCACTCTCCTTACTGAGCGTGGAAAGGTGTACGGGCATGACTTATATTCTCTCCTCTCCCTGCCCCACGTTCAAAATCGCAACCCCTCAGCCAGAGACGAATTGCTCAAAGCCATATCAGAAAATCATAGTTCTTTGGGCGGTGACGCATTGTGGGTTGAAAGTCAGCCAGAAGTTCGATTTCGGCCATTAGACTGTGAGATGGTGTGTATTTATATGAGTTTCACAACCAGCTTAACAGAGCAAAAACCAAAACCTCTGACATCTAAAATGAGATGAAAATGTCAAACGTATGAAAGCATGAGAAACTCAAAAGCTGTCAATGAAGAATGTTTAATACTCATATATTGGTGATTAATTCCATAATGTAATCCGTTATATGTAAATCTATTTTAATAATCATGATAAAATCACGTAATTTTTACTTTACTTTCATTACTTCTTTACTTACATTATTTTTTCTAGTTTCAGAACGGAAATATCAATATCTCATGTGTCATTAAATGGACAACCTTGCATAAAACGGAAACCTCCCTAAACCGGACTTTTTTGTTCTGATTGATTCCGGCTTAGACAGATTTTACTGTACTTTACTTTCAAAATTATCGCTGGAATACTAAGTTGAGACAAAAATGCAAAATTAATTGTTGAAACATATTTCACTAGTTCTGTTGCATATGTTACAAACTTTATAGCGTATTTGCATGCATATTTCTACTTTTGAATCAGCATTAACTTCCAAACCTTAATTATATGTATCATGAAGTATGTTAGCAGATTACTGCTGAACACTACAAAGTGTAGTCCCAGAGACTTCAAAATATTCGATAAAATAATCAGTTAGCATGTGTCTTTTCAATTGAACAGTTGTTAAAAACATTCATGTCTTTAACACAGCAGTAAAAAAGGATTTTTGAAAACATTCTTTTGAACTTAACCATCAGTGCAATTTCAATTTGTAAGCTATTGAAAGGTCAAGAAGAATAGTATAAGGTGTTTGGCACTAGAAGGTTGTTTGTCCATTTTTCTTCTACACCTACTACTTCAGTATGGTCTGTCAGTTCCCTACCTATTGGAAGCACACATTTGACTCAAAAGGGTGTCAAGCTTTCCCCACAATCATTAACAAGTGCAAGTAAATGTAATTTTTCTTATCTAAGGTGGGATTTAACTTGATATTTCTTTGTCTTTGAAATTCATTGGCGAAAAAAAACGGAATATTGTTTCATTAACAATGAAGTCATTATATTTTTGTAATTCTGAATTTATTTTCTGAAATTGGTTCTAATACAGAGAAATATCATTTAAATATCTATTTTCACATTATACACATCACAAAACGTCATTTTTTGATGAACCTTTTCACTGTGAACTTATAGGGTTCTGTTTAAAACAACTAATGTTTTTTATTGAATGTGTGTTGACCGTGTTCATCAGTGAATGAGAATTAAATTTTTTATTTTTTAATTTTTGCAGATCATTCTCCTATCCCAGATTATTGAAACAGAACAGAGAATAGCTGTAAAAGATGTCCTTCGCTCTTTTAACAGCAACGTTGCTTCTCAGAGATTGGATGATAGATATTTCACCAAATTAGATTCTAGTTTAAAGAAGAATACAGCATTTGTCCGAAAGTTGGTGAGTATAATCAAATTTTTAAATAACAAACTTTTTTTTAAGACACGTTTTTAATCATTAAATTTGAATTTTGTTTTTTTATGTTTATTGAATTGAAACACAGTTGATATACACACTTCATGTTTTTGTTGAAATGTTAATTATTGCTAGAATTAAAAAAATTATTATAAATGTCTTTTTATGTATCCATATCCTTATCTTCGTTGGATTATGTCCATATACTCTCAAGTCATGTAGCAAATGCTGAGATGGTCTCTTCTGGACAATACCTGTAACTTTTACTTCTTTACCTTCTTTGAATGTCATCTCAGTTTCTGTGACATTAATTCCACTTCTGAACTCAACTTATGTATTGGGAAACCAGAAGACAAATGGAGATTATTCAAGTGTCTGGATAACACTACCACTGCCTCTTCTACTCCCATGTTCACTGTCATATCCACTTTCAATACTCTTTGAAATAATGTAGTGGTTCTGATATATTGTATTTACATATTTTTGTTTTTCAGAAAACATTTACCGGCAATCAACTTGAAAATTTGATGAAAGAATTCCTCTCCCTGAACCTTACAAAATACGTTAGTGAAGTTGCTACTGCTTTAGTGGAAGCAAAATTGAAAATGACTGATGTTTGGCCAGCTGTCCAACTGTGTAATATATTTCACGGAACTTATTCTGAATTCTCCACTCATTTGCTTGATAACTGGCACAAAGTTTTGACAATCAAAAAAGATGAAAAGGTACATATGCCAATGACAAAAATTGTCTTGAGATGCTTGTGGTTTTACTTATCATGTACATTTTTTTCAGATTGCAAATGCTGCAAAATTGAGAGTTGACATTAGATTTTATGCTGAACTTATTAATGTGGGAATATTCACGCATAAAGAAGGCTTACCTTTAATGGGAAATGTTCTTACAATGTTAACTCATTCAGATAAAGATGACCATCTCAATATAAATATTCTTCTGAGTTTTTGTCGCCACTGTGGTGATGAATATGCAGGTATGAAGTGCACTTATACATTATTTTTCATATTAGTTATTAAAAGTGTTCCTATAACATGGCAATTGGTTTCAGGACTTGTTCCTCGTAAACTGAGAGAATTGTGTGAAAAATATAATATCACTCTTCCACGCTATAAATTGCTGCCAAAGGAGAAACAGCGCAATGTGAAGGCTCTCTTGAAGGATTACTTTAATTCTATGTGCAAACATTTGTTAAAGGTAAGTCTCTAATGAAGAAACAAGTGAATTAATGTATTAAATAATTCATACTCTTGCTCTCTAATGGTGTTAAACTTTTTGCGTAAAACTGTACTGTTACAACAACTTATGGTAATGCAATCAAACGCAGGGACAAAAAGCTGCTTGTTTTGGCCAGTGTTCGTTCAGGATTTACACAGTCCACAGTCTTTAAGAACATTTGAAATAAACGAGTTGCACCAAAAATGATATATTAGTACTTCTACTCAAAGAAACATTATTTCTTATTTATAAGATTTTTCTTGAAAGAAGGTGGTATTAAGAAAAGTATTGAATGCCATATGGCTTGTAACACACATAATGAACGCAGTTGCTTTTAAACCACTAGTTTAAACTCCCAAATGAGACACAAGTTCTTTATGCTTTGGAGACCAGAAAATTGAATTTTAGTTATGATGTGACCGAGTTGTGTGTTTTTATCTCTGAGCGATTCTATTTCTTCTTGATTCTGAATGAAGTTATTAGGGAATAAGGAGTAGTGCACGCATGTCACAATAGCTTCAAGTCATTCACAGTGTATTTTCTTGATTATAAATAATTATTTGTTGGTATCTTAAAGATGAAGTTTACAAAACTTCAAATTATGCATATTGAACATTTTAACTTTGTAGAGAGATCATCAACACCACCATCAGTTTTGGAATGATTTTCCTGTTCCTCTAATGGTTAATGAAGCAGTATTCCTTCAGGTGTTGAAATGTTCTTGCTGGTGCCATCTTGTCGGTCTTCCTCTGTCCCTCTTGCCTTGTGGCCTATGATTTCATGTCATCCATGGTAGGAATTTGACCATTCTTGTCATTTTCTTCATTTTCTCTTGTATTCTTTTATTTCTTCTACTTAGTTTTATGCTTTTAGTTGTTGGTTTAGTAATTTTCTCTCTTCTTGTTACTCCTAAAACCGCCCTTAAAAACTTCATCTGAGCTGCTTCCAGGCTTCTTGTTTCCTTTTCTCCCCATAATTCACATTTCTACTTTACATCATACTTGATCATTATTAGAAATGGTTACATGAAAATTAGTTTCTTTTCTCCTATGTCTCCAGCTACTATGACTATCATCGCTTTCGCTCACTCACTGACTGATATTTCTATATAAGTGTTAAGAATTTTATATCCCTAAGGTCTGTCCCTATCCCTAAAGTCTTATCTTGAGAATAAACCAATTGAATGGGTATGAATGACATTTTACATGGGTGTTGTCCATAAATTACGTAACGTTAAAGAGGGGGGAGGAGGTTTGAGACAGTGTTACACTGCGTTACATAGGAGCTGGGGCTACGTAACATTGAAATATTTTTTACATTTTTTATCATTTGTTGAAATACTTCCTTTTTTGAGTCTTATTACATTTTTTTAATGTTTTAGTATAAGGTTTTTTAACATAAATGATTTAAAGTTCTTAGAAGTTGTTACAATAAATGAACATATTTTTTATCAATTTTGTATTGATTCTAGGATTGCGTAGAATATATTCAAAACTGGTCTGTAGTAATTTGTAGAATACAGTTAAATAGATTCTCGGCCACGCCATCCAAAACTGCGGCTTGTGCATGGCTTGTGATCAGAAATTGTCTCACCTGTGCGCCCTTCCTTCACTCACAATTTGACCCTGAAGCTTATCGTTAGGTACAGTCAACCTCAACAACTAATTCCGACTTTAATTAACTTAAATTTTATTACACAACACAAATATATAATGAGATATAATTTATATTCACCTCTTGCATTTATATGGTGGGGAGGGGTCTATCGCAAGTGTTACGTAATTATTTAGGGGGAGTTCAATTGTGCGCTACGGTTGCGTTGTAGGGGGAGAGGGGGTATTCAAAATACTCCAAATTTGTGTTACGTAATTTATGGACGGCTCCTTCCTTGCATGTCAAAGGGCCTACCATGGAGTAAATATAAATTAAAAACTTGAAAAATTCAACCACATGTGTGATACTATAAAATGATTCTTAAGAAACAAAGCACAAGTAGAAACTCAAATAAAATTCGATAAAGTGAAGAATTACAATGGATATTTCAAGAGGACAGTATGGCAGTGAAAAGCGAACAATAACCAAAGAAACAACAAAAACAGAATTCAAGCCCCAGAAATTAGATTTTTGAGATCTTGGGATATGACGAAACGAGAAGATATCCAATAATAAAATTCGCGAAAGATTACACGTGAACAGCTTAAACACTGATAAAAGAATATCGAACAAAATTGTGTGATCACATACAACAACATCAAGACTTCCGCGAAAGTTTCTGCAATATTCAGTTCCTGGGAAGAGTAGTCTGGGGCACCCTAAAGAGATGGTTGCAACAACATAGGTGAAGTTGTAACGGGCACCAATCCAATGTCTGAAGTAAAAGCATTAATAAGAAAAAATCGTTCAGCAAGGCTACATAACGCTTAGATGTTATAGTTAACTGCTCTTTCGTGTTCATCTTGACCAAACTAACTTTCTCGCTACGCAAAGGGCGTTGTTGCAGTAAACAAGGGGTTTCCTGTGCCCAATATCTACAGTTTTCCTTATTGATAAATCCACTTAAATGGAAATGGAGCCTCATCTGACATATTAAAATGAGATAAAAAATTGTGGTTGCGCTTCAATAATTTCAAACAAATATGTGCAAAATTCCATTTGGTGATTTAAAATCTGGAGATAGTAATGGTTAAACCACTTGCATTTTATATGGATGGCAAAGCAAATTGACGTCATATTAAAGAGTGCAATTACCACTATCCGTTCGAAATGTTTGAAGAAAAAATTTGGAACGGTTTTGATAAAATGGCGTTTGACCGTTTCTGAAAATGCGGAGTTCTGAGTTAGTTTTCACAGAAAACGGTAGTTTTGGAGAAACTTTATATGACCTTACTTAAAGCACATGCATTCATAAATACGATAATGTGAACACATTGCCGCTTATGTAAGTATTAACGACATGAGAGAAAAGTTAAAAATATTATTGTAATTTTTGAAAAAACAATAACAAAGGAATAGCGCGATGTGGCGTGAAAAATACGTATATTTTTTTAATTTCAAATGCTTAAATGAAAACGCTTTCTCCCAATGAATTGAGCGTATTTTCATTCTACATAAATGTGTCAACAATACACGATGCGTACTTTAGCCGCAAAAAAAAAAAAGTTTATATTAATGCGAACGCAAGGCAGCCGTCATTATCACCTGTTATCGGTGCGTCGTTTCAACAATGGGTTGCAGCAAGCAACAATGACCGTAATTTGTATGGGATACACATTTTGCCAATTAGCATTGTTGATCCGGCTAGCAAGAAAATGAAAATGGATAGAAAAATATAATAGTTAAATACAAAATTTTTATATTAATCATAATTACTCGGTTTTTACACCCATTACCCTTCATTCCAACATCTTATTAGGCAAAACGAAATGATCTATTCGTTTTCACATTTAAGTCAATTAAATGTCGCAATTTAAAATGTTTTAAATAATTTCTAAAATATTGTTTTCAAAACATAACAAAAGCTGTAATATAAGAAACAAAGAAAGAAATATGAAACAATATACAAATTCTAACTTCCGTATCACACAACTGCCTAGCATCGCAATTTATTTTACGTTCACAAAGCGCCGTAAATTTTGAGCGGGTGACCATATTTGACGCCAAATTATTAAAAAAATACTCATTTTCTAAAAATTCAACATAACCTTATTTGAAGATCTGTGATTTTGATGAAAAAATTTCATTAAGATAAAATTGTATCTTCACAATTGTAGTTGTAGGAAGACACCGAAAAAGTTTTCTTTTATTACATTTTCGAAACATCAACCATTTCAACGAACATGAGATCTGCACCCTTCTCTTAAGCATCCATTACGCTAATATCCAAATTTAATAAAAAAATGTGCCTTTTGTAAGAAAAAGTGATTTAAAGAAAAAAATTGACTGTAACAAAATTTCGCACAAAATACTCATGTTTTCGAAACATTGATCATAATATTAATTTTAGATGTTTTGTATCACATTTCATTAAGAAAAATGTATATCTTCGTAATTATGGACGGAAGATGATGCCGAAAATTTGTTTAATGTTTTCAATTTTCAAAAATCGGAATTTTCAACGCACATGAGACCTGCGGCACTGTCTTAAACGTCCTTCACACTATCCAATAACGAAGTTTAATAAAAACGGAGCCATATTTTCAAAATGTCCCAAGGGCTTGTGTAAAGTACCCTCTAGAGTTAAAATATCAGTTTCAAATTCAAGGGGCCGCGATATCAGCCAGATCGATCGTTGAATATCAATTTTGGAGAAAATCGGCCCAATGGTTTAGTCTCAAGCGTTGTTCACAGACGGAGAAACGTTTTGCCATCAATCGATTTTTCGGTATCAAGGACACAAAACATGGATTCTTAATACTCCATGTGTTAGAGAATTTTTTTCTAAATTTAGCCACTTGATTTATCCACTTGTTTCGTTATCAGGGCCCCTGTAATAAGAGTTTTTCAGCCAAAAATTCGCTGTTTTTCGCGCTGCATTACATAATTATTACTACTGCGTGAGTGGTAGCGAGAAAGTAAAAATTTGGAGCGATTTTTAGAAAAAAGTTTTAAAAAATCAAAAAAATCGTATATTTCATCCAAATTTACGCGAGAACGCAAATTTTGGAAAAATTGTACATAACCTTACTTCAACATATGCCTTTAAATAACAGATTTCATTAATTTCTGTTAAAAAAAATTTCATTCAAAAATCAACATCTTCAATATTTTAGTTGTAGGAAGACGCCGAAGAAATTGAACTTTTACATTTTTCTAAAAATTAGCCATTTCAACGAAAATGAGACGTGTACCACTTTTTAAACGTACTTTATGGTATCCGTGGACAAAGTTTAATCAAAAAATTTGGAACCATTTTTGACAATTTTGAAAATGCGCCTGGGGATATATGTAAGGTACCCTTTAAAATAAAATACCGGTTTCAA